AGCTTTTAAGAGCCTGGACGGATGACACAAGGAGAAAATTTTGTAACAGCCATGATGAGCATCACATGTTTTTAATTCACTAGTTAGAAGAGACAACCCTGAAAAGAAGCACAATATGCTGGGCCATAGAGAAGACGTGTTAGCATCATGATAAAGTGCATTACCCTAAATGGGCCCGTTTTTTTCTCCAGAGAGAAGAAACCCAGCTCCACAGTCACATACCATGGCCATTTGTCCTGGACCACATGAATTAAACAGTCTGTCACTGCCACCAGGATGGAGATGCAAGAGGCCTATATTTTTTTAATTATCTTTTTTGTCATGCTATTACAGTTGTCCCAAATTTCCCCACCTCCACCCAGCCACCCACACTCCCTGAGGTAATTTCCACACCACTGTCCACATCCATGGGTCCTGCATATATACTGCTCTGGCTACTCTATTCCCTATGTTGTACTTTACATCCCCATGAATATTCTGTAACTACCTACTTGTACTTCTTAATCCCTTCACCTTTTCACCATCCTCTCAACCCCCCTCACATCTAGTGGCCATCAAAATGTTCTCTGTATCTATGATGCTGTTTCTATCCTGCTGGTTTTATTTTGTTATTCTTTTAGATTCAATTGTTTTATTGCCATTTTATTGTTCATATGTTTGATCTTCCTCTTCTCAAAGAAGGCCCTTTAACATTTCATACAATACTGGTTTGGTGATGATGAGCTCCTTTAGCTTTTTCTTGTCTGGAAAGCTGTTTATCTGTCATTTGATTCTAAATGATAGCTTTGCTGGGTAGAGGAATCTTGGTTGTTGGTCCCTGCTTTTCATCACTTCGAATGTTATTTGCCAATTCCTTCTAGCCTACAAAGTTTGAGAAATCAGCCAACAGTCTTATGGGAGCTCCCTGGTAGATAACGAACTACTTTCCTCTTCCTGCTTTTAAGATTTTCTCTTTGTATTTAACCTTCGACATTTTAATTATTATGTGTCTCAAAATGGGCCTCTTTAGGTCCATCTTGTTTGAAAATCTGTGCTTCCTGGACTTGTATATCTATTTCCTTCGCCAGGTTAGAAAGTTTTTTTTCCATTATTTTTTTCAAATGGTTTCCATAATTTCTTGTTCATTCTCTTCTCCTTTTGGCACCCTTATAATACAAATGTTGGCACACCCGAAGCTGTCCCAGGTTCCTTACACTAACCTCGTATTTCTGGATGCTTTTTTCTTCTTGTTGTTCTAACTGGATGTTTTTAGTTTTTTATGTTCCAAATCACTGATTTGATTCTCATTTTCATCCACCATACACTGTTGTTTCCCTGTAAATTGTTCTTTTTTCAATTAGTGAATTCTTCCTTTCTGAATGGATCTTTTTTCACACCATTGAGGTTCTCAATAAGTTCCTTGAGTATCCTTATAACCAGTATTTTGAACTCTGCATCTGATAGATTGCTTATCTCCATTCTGATTAGTTCTTTTTCTGGAGTTTTGTTTTTTTTATTTGGACCATGTTTGTCTCCTCATTTTGGCAGCCTCCCTATGTTTGTTTTTATGTATTAGGTAGAGCTACTATATCTCCCAGGCTTGACAGAGTGGCTTTAATGTAGCAGGTGTCTTGTAGGGTCCAGTGGCACAGCCTCCCCTGTTACCCAAGCTGCAGACTCAAGGTGTGCCCACTGTGTGACCTGTATACAGCCTCTTGCCGTAGTTGAGACTTGATTGCTGTTAGCATGTCCAAAGTCAACCACTGCCTGTGTTCAGTCCGGGGTCACACAGCGTTAGCTTCAATACAAGCAGTAGATAGCTGCTACTTGTGCTGGGCTTACAGGTGCCTAGGAGAGGCCAGACTATGAAACAAAGCCAGCTGCTGCTAGTGCCAGGCCGGGGGCAACTTAGCAAGAGGTACAGGGCTTTGCTGAAGCCATATGCTGCTTGTTTGAGACAATTTAGAAAAATCTGAAGCATGGGGCAAGACAAGCCATTCATATGGAAAAGCCACTGGAAATAGCTTGGGTGGGTCTGAAAGTCAGGCGGGGCAGGGTCATGGGGAATCACCAGGGTGGGGCAAATGGCGTGAGCTAGGATGGTGGAGTCTCAGATAAGGCACCCATCTGCTGGTTCTGTGGGAGAGTGCTCAGAAAAGGTACAATGGCCTCTCCCAGCACTTCTGTCAGGGAGAAAGCAGCTCCCCAGCTCTCGCCCTGATACCAGACAATTCAGTTCCCCCCTATATGTCTCTAATGTTTTCAATCTGCTGCCCCAGGGCTACAGCTTAGAGAGACTGAATCCAACTGAGTTCTTTTGTGGGCCCTTTAAAAGGAATTGTCTGGGATTCCAGAAGTTTCTGTCTTCCACAGCCTCAAATCCAACCTGCAGGCTCAACCCCCACTGATTTTTACAGACAGAAGTTATGGAGATTTACCTTTATGGCACTGGAACCCTGGGCTGAGGGGCCTGCTTGGAGCTAGGACCAACCCCCAACCCAACGCCTGAGACATCCCTCCCAATTTTTATCTCCCGCCTGTGGGTGTGGCACCAGCCCATTCCAGGTCGCCACCCCTACCAGCCTTGACTTGGCTTCGTTTTTAATCCCATAGTTGTTGGACTTCCATTCAGCTCAATTTCTGATGGTTCTGAAGGACAGTTTTTCTACAGGTTAGTTGTAATTCTGATGTGGTTGTTCAAGGAGGTAAACCATGTTTACCTACACTGCCACCTTGACCCTCTTTTGGGGGGCCTACTTCTATTTGTAGCATTCATACTCTCTAGGTCTCAGTTCCCCGAACTGTAACAGGATGGCTTCTAAGGTACAAAGACCTCTAATACTCCATTGTATAAAGTTAAAAACATTGAGAGAGATCAACCAGGAGCGTAATAAATGCCCTATACTCACAAGTCAGCCTCTGAGCAGAAGAAAGCTCATGTTCAATACCCCTCAGGTAAATATTAAGAGTTACCCTTACATCCACAGAGCAGGACAGAAATTTACAAGCTTCTCTTGGAATTCTTCCCAAATTAATAATACATGAGCAACAGACAGAATTAATGATTAAGGGAGAGGGTACTGTCAAAGGCTTGCTATGAGTGAGAAAAGAAGGAAGAGCTGAGCACAAGAGGAACCTAAAACTAGAACTCAGGTCAAGAAAGCTCAATGACCTGGGGCCATTTGATGTAGCGGTGGACTTAAACATCTCTATAATCATGTTACACAGCATAGCTCAATTAACTGACATTTATAATGATATCACTGTTAGGCACCAAGAAAATGTGAAATTATATTGCTACACTCTGCTTAATAAGGTAAGAAAACACAGCTTATGACTATGACCATTTAATAATGTAGCTCACAAAGGAATGTTGCCTTCAGATGAGAGAGGTAACTAACTATAAAGCCCTAATGTTCTTCAGACAGAGTCAGTGACATCTTTATACACATAGCAAAGATCAAGTAAGGCAATGGAGAGTCCATTCTGTGAACAAGTTTCAGCTGCTGTTACTTCCTTTATAAGAACAATGAAAAGAACCCGGTGAACACTTCACCTAACATAACTTTGGAGGACCTAGAACATTTCTGCATTTACAAAGCTGCCACCTGGTTAGAATGAAAGAAAACACTGTTTGAGTAGAAATTATAGTGTAATTTTTTGAGTTTAATTTTTTTTTGAGAAAATTCTGGTTGTATCCATGTAATGCAAATACCATGAAATAACTTTTATGCCAAAATATTCGACTATACACTTTGCTTTGCTGTGTACCACTGGTATTCAACAAATAATTGGTTTACATTCTCTGGGAGAGGAACAGTGTACATAAGCAGTTTTTCTGATCAGAAGGTCACTTATTCAAATCCAGAAAATTTTGAGCTCTCTGATTTCTAAGACTTTCCTGTATGTTTTCATGAAAACAACAACAAAAAAACCCCAATAGTAACAAGCAAATTCTTTCTTCTGAAAATGTATACATTTTTTTTCAAAGCCCCAAAACCTCTCAAGATTGTCACAATGACACCATTATGAGGACCTCACCCCCTTGGGCCACCAAGTCCTCGGGATACCGGGTCTTTTCTACGGTCCCTCCTCAGCACCCAGGAGCTCAGAGGAGCCACTGGCAGGGGGGCTTGTGAGTTCCAAAGCAACACAAAGGCCAGAGACAAGTTCACAGAAGCTTATACCTTAACACCCAGAATGCAGACAGTCAAGTGGCCACTTTCCTTTCAAGAAGCACCCTAAACACTTCTGGCTGCACTCATCAACCCTTATTCACAGTTGCTTGGGCCATCTGCCTGGAGAAGGATGGAGCCAGGCCCTTCTCTGAGAATCTTCACCTGAGGATCAGCTCTCAGAATTCGGAGCCCAATTAAACTGGCTTCTTTCTACTGTATCTCGGCTTGCTTCCCTTAACTTGTTTTGCTTTTCAACATACCAAAGGAGAAAAATATTCACTAAAGTAGAACTGGTAAAAGCTTCGCAACATATGGCAGACGAGATGCCTGCAAACCAGATACAGCTATATTCTTCAGTTACAGTTTACTCTCACTTACTGTATCACACTGCAAAATGTCTTTTGGGAAAGCCATACATGCAAGTTTTTAATCAATCAGAAAAACGACAAAGACCTGTTTAAAAACCAAAAAGCTACATACCTAAAATAAAACCTCATGAAATAAGAAAAGCCAAGATTGTGATCTATTCTTGGCTTAGGCTTAGCTCTGAGAGTATAATGATGGCCAAACGAGGCCGTACACCACCAAGGGATATGATGGGGCTGCACTAAAATAAGACTCACATCATCAGGTATTTTGAGCATTATAGCTGAAGCTAGAGAAGACCAAGTATTACTTAATAGTTTGCACATCTGATCACAATTCCAAGAAAAACCTCTTTTGAGGGCTCATTAAATTGATGAACCCTTCCCGGTTACATTGAGAAGTCATATTCCATTTCAGCTTCTGCAATGTCCCCCACCTCACAAGGACCCCCGCCCCAACGATTGCATGAGTACTCACATTCAGAGCATTCTTCGCAGCTTCTGCTTCTGAGCGACTGTCAAAACTGACAAAACCTACGGGCTGAGGAAAGAAAAGCAAATATGAAGGGAAAAAAATCAGAGGCTACCTATTTTTCTGGGTCAAAGGTGATGTCAAACTGAAGGGCTAAGATAAAGAAATGACCACAGGCATTTGTGTGGAAATAAGAAAGCCAGTCCAGAAGAATCATGAGTCAGTGGTTTAGCTAAATTTCTAACACGAATCAAAGGGATTGTGAGGATGGTTCTTCAAGGGCATAGCTGGGGATTTAGAGAATCATAAATATAACCTAGAAGAGGTAGGAAGGTGAGCAGCAGTGAACAAGGAAGTAGAGGAAAACGGGTTGAGAGTGTCTACGCTCCCAAATTGAATTCCATGTACCTCAGGTTCTTTATCTTTTAATGTAGCAAGAGAACTGAATCACCTCTTGGTGTCAGTGCAAGGCACACAATGACACAGTGAGAGAAGCCCTGTACTCTCACCACACAATCCAAATTGCAAAATGACCCTTTCCATCGCAAATCCCAAGGGATGCCTTTCAAAACTCGTGTTTGAGTAGGTGTGCAGGCCACACTGTTCCAACGAAAGAGAAAGGGGCCATAATCCCTTTGGACTCAGTATCTGTCAGTCCAGAAGGATACTAGCAACATAGCTTGTTCCTGATGAACCAGAGAATGCCTCACGGAGTGACGAACAGTGATTGGGAGGTGAGCGTGCTGAGTGTTCAGCATTAGAGGGGAAAAAGCAAACAGCTGAAAATGTTCAAGAAGCTTGCAGGGACTATGAGGGTCACTGATTACCACCTCCATTCGGGGTTTGAGAGAGAACATGATTCTTCACCACCAGATACTCATACCGATTGTGAGAGTCTGCCTGTTTAACCTTATTAAAAAAAGAAAACAGGAAAGAATTGGGAATAAATGTGAATCTGGATAATAATTGCTTTGAATATACAAACAAATCCCAATATAACTATGCTGGATGCATTGCATTTGCCTTCCTTGGGGCTAGTCCCAGATATGCTAGCTGGAGACTATGGAATTAACAAACCATTTTCCCATGCTAATCCCTAACCAAGCTCACTCTTATTTTTAATACAACAACAACAAAATAAAATCCTAATGAGAATAAAGAATGCTGAGCCCTAGTAACATTCCTGAAGAAAGTCAATTCAAACTTTTTGTGGAAGTGATCATTTATATGCAAGTTTAAAACTCTTACCTGCTTAGATGTGAGCTTTATAAGAGAACCCTCATAGCCCTGAAAAGGAAAAACAAAACAAATTCAGACAGAAAAAAAAAAAGAAGAGTGCTAGGGGAAAAAAGCAGTTATATTAGCACCTTCTCAAGTAAAAGTGAGTGCTTCATGGCTACTGGCTACTTCTTTTCAGAAATGCATGTTACATTCACTGGAAAAGCAAATTATACACACAGGCCCTTGCCCATCTTTACAGATGCCTATGTCTGCACACTCGAGTCCTAGAAGAAATCAAGCCCTGAAATTCATGCATTTTTATTTGTCTCTTTTTATTTTTTCATGAAATTATGCAATGGTAGCACAATCGGTATCTCTGTCAATAGCAGATCTTTATTCAACAGAACCAGGAAAGAAAAGGGGGTAAATTTCCTAACATAGGAAGGTAAGAGTATGTGATCACCTGGTCATGTATTTGCTATAAAACACCAACAATGACACATTAAGAATGCCCTGTACCTTGGTGATCACTTCGTGATTTATATAAATGCCTAATCAACATGATTGCAGGCCTAAAACTAATATAATACTGTACATCAACTATAATTGAAAAATAATTTTAGAAAAGGAATGCACTCGGTAAAAGTTATTAATCAAAATTTCAAAACTGCCAGGAAAGGTTAAGCAGGCAGTGATGCTCAATTCTGCTGAGTCCTTTTGCTCGTTTATTAAATCGGCCAGTGCCACGTAGATATTCTGACTGCAACGTGCAAAAACTCCCCATCGGGTTTTTACTCCAGTTCACCCTCAAGGAAGACAGAAACACTCCCTTCAACCCCTCCCCTCCCTCTTCCCTGGCCCCGCAGCATGTGGATGACAAAGTGTGTTTATTTCTGAAAACAATCAGTGGCTGGTGGCTTGCCCTGATGGATGACACAGAGGGGGGAACCACCACCTGACACGACCGACCGCCGCACATATCAGTGTGGAGACAGGGTTGCGGATGAGGGTCAACCTCCAGGGACGGTATTTAATTAAGAGGGGTGTTAGGAATGTGGCAGGGTCCTGACTTGAGCGCAGCGTTTCTGGGCAGAGCCTTGGGACTGATTCATCCTCGCATCTTCCCAGCATAGAACCACGTGACCCATTAGCTACCACGAACATTTCACCTCACAGGCCTTGAGCTCTTCTGGCCAAAGAGGTTGTGATGTGCAGCCCTGCCTCATCTTTTTTTAAAGTGCTTTCTCTGAAAAGCCCACAGGTTTAAACACCCTGAAGGCCTCAGCGGCAAAGGACAAATGGATATTTCATTCAAGTAAAACCCCACTGGCAGGAATATATTGTGCTCTTAAGTCACAAGAAGGGCATTAGTATCACAAAGCCGTTCAGAACAGGGATGGCAGACTCAGACTGCTTGGGTTTGAATCTCACCCCTGCTGTTCATGATGTGGGCAAACTGGAGCAAAACCGATTCAACACTCGAAGCTTTGTTTTCCTCACCGGCATAAATGAGGCCAAGCTGTCCTAAAGTTCTGTGATGAGAATTAAGTGAGATTGTTCACGTAAGGGGTTTGCCAGCTGAACCACTTTCTCTCTACACGTATGGGAAACACACCAGTATTTTGTGCATTAAGATCAATTAGCTTACAACGTCCTCATCCTACGAAAGGGACGGCAGAATCTGCAGCCCTGCACAGGAAGCTGAGGACCTTCTGTCAGGTTGGCATTCTCTTCCTTCCCACAGCACCTTCGCTTTGTTCCCACTTCCTCTCAGCTAGCCTCCTGTCTAAGCTTCCTCTTCCTCTGCACGGTCACCGTCACGGTCCTGATAAGGCAGCGATTTCCAACCGCTGTGCCGCCACGGGCACTACCTGCCTATTGAGTCAGGGGCACTGACTTCCTTTCCTTCAGGTTATCAAATTAGAAAAATGACAACGGCCAACACAATAGCCATTCAGTGGGAATGAATGAAAACTACGCCTACTTTTGTCAGATCAGCAAAAAGTATGTTTTTTTTGGTGTGCCACAGAATTTTACTAATTAGTTTATGTGTGCCACATGATGAAGAAGGTCAAAAATCGCTGCAGGAAGGGGGCTGGCTGTCAGAATGGATTTTTGTCACTGAATGGTGGTTTCTTGACACATAAACTGGACTCTATTTTATCTTCATTGGTATTAACTGGCTGCCCCCTGGATCTTCCCTATTCCCTTCCTACACAGCTGTTTTCAGCGGTCATATCCGCTTGCTCTCCCTAAGAAGCTAGATAGATCCTATCCTCGGCCTGCCCTGCATCTATGGCTGGAGTCCTCCTTCAATAGGGACGTACATCTAACCAAAAACCAAGGTGGTCCACTGCCTAATTGTCAGTGTGGCCCGAGCCGGCATCATCGACTCAATGACCTCAATGACCAGCTCAGGCCACAGGCTCTGAATTTATCATGGCCTCCAGGTTCACTCGCTGAGGGCCAAGGCCTCCAGCCCGCAGCTCGCCTGGTCCTGGCCTCCGACCCTCCACAAGCTGGGCTTCCAGGTTCTGCCCTGGCAGCACGCTTACTTCAGCTTCAGTCTGACTTCCTGCGAGGTTTCCAATCCCAGATACATTAAGTATCTCCAAAGCAGTTTTATGTCAATAGTTACACTGCATTGAGTACCTCACTAAACACCAGGAAAGATCACTCTCATACAACACTTGAAAATCTTGTCCTTCTTTCCTTGAAACCTAGGATATTATTCCCATGAAAAAAATAATGGTGTTATTAGGTTCATACTCTAATTCATGAAAGTCAATTTAACCTATTATGTTCCCAAAAAATAGTTCTAACAGAACTATTTCAACTAATAATCTCCTGGAGATAATGCTGGATTTATATTATAATATTTGAAGCATAAATGCATAATCAATAATTGATAGCACGTTTGGTTATCTGTACCTAGAAGACATCCTGAACTGGCGGAGGACACTGAGGCCGCTCTACACAGAAGAGACAGATACACGTCCACACCAGTAAGTGAGAGACTTCTCTAGACTGGCTGTCGGGAGGACAGAAGGCGGATTCCGCCTTTCCTAAGGGAGACTGCACACTAGAGCTGAGTTGTTAAATCCCCACTACCCAAGGACCTTTTAAACATAGCGCTATATAGGGCACTTTCTCAAAATTTTATTTCTTCCTCCAAAGAGACCTTAGGAAGCTTCTACTCACACGTTTTGCTTCCTTTCACAATGTCTGAAACAGAAAAGGTACCTTAAATGGTCTGAAAAGCAGGTAGAGCTCCCGAGGTTTGATGTCCAGAGGGAGACCACTGACAAACAGGGTCCGGACCTGGAAGAGACATGAGAACCGCTCAGAGGAGTGGAATCCAGAGACTCACTCTTACGTGCAATTTCAAAACCACGTCTTCAGATACTCCATGCATCCTACCTACTTCATAAGCATTCAATGACGCAAGAGCACTCTAATGTTAAGATGACATTAAGTTAACTCTCTTCTTTGCGGGTTATTCAAAGTGAACTACCTCTAGCTGATTTAAATTCATGAACTGACTTCCTTCCCAACTAGCCATTGTCCGGTTCTAAAACTGGGGGATGGCAGAGGAAGGATCCAGATAATTACTTTATTAGCTTTAGAAAAATGCTACGAGGGTGGACAACCTACCGTTCCTCTGCTCTGATCAAATGGACACAGTATGTGGTTCAAAACTAAAATCAAAGCCATTTATTTTCTCTTGCTTGTCCTGCCACTGCTTCCTGCATCTGCATTAATCATCACAGTAATTTTAATAAGTGGAAGTTTATTGAACAATTCAAACACATCCAAATAGTAGCCAAAATGCCTACCTGCATCTTCTCAGTTCCAAAACAGGGACAGAACTCACTGACGGACAACTATAAGACCTAGGGTACAAACTATCTTTATCTTTATCCTTTATCCTTTTTATCTTTAGCCTCTAGCATTTTAATTATGATGTGTCTTGGAGTGGGCCTCTTTACATCTACAGCCAAGGTTACTCTACCCACAAAGCTATCATTCAGAATTGAAGGACAGGCAAAGAGATTCCCAGAAGAAAAAAAAAAAAAACCAAAGGAGTTCACCATCACCAAACCATTATTATACAAAATGTTAAAGGGACATAATTAAGAAAAAGATCAAAACTATGAACAATAAAATAGCAATACACACATATCTATCAACAATTGAGTCTAAAAAACAAACGAAGCAAACAAGAACAGAGACAGACAGAATCATAGGTAGAGAGCACATTTTGATGGCTGCCAGGTGGGAGGGGTCGTGCGGCAATGTGTGAGGAGGTGAGGGGATTAAGAAGCACAAATAGGAAGTCACAGAACAGCCAAGGGGATGTAAAGTGCAGTGTAGGAAATGGAGTAGCCAAAGAATCTATACGCGTGACCCACGGACACGAACAACGGTTCATGTGGGGATGGCCTGAGTGAATGGGGTACTGCGTGGAGGGGGCAAAGGGGGAAAACCAGGACAACTGTAATAGCATAATTAACAAACTGCCATTTAAAAAAAAGGATTTGGGGAGTTAACTTAGGAAATAAACTCCCAATTACAGTACGAATCTAAAGAAGATGGCTCCACAAACTTGCGAGCCCAATAATTTAGCAACACCACCACGAGAAATCTGGGGGCTATCAACAACATCACTTGATATAAATGAAGGTTCACCTGCATCCATGAAATATAATACGCAACCAACAAAAATGACATTCAGGAAAAAAGTACATATTGTTTGGGTTTATTCTGTGAAACAACCCACCGACACACACGTATGTGGAGAGGGAGAATGCCTTGTGGGATATATACACACCCCAACATGTTTATGTTCCCATGGCTTCGTCCTGAGTGGTAGAATCAGAAGTGATTTTAAAGGTTTTTATTAGTCGTTTTTCCTACCTTTCCACAAATAAAGCATGTATTAGATACTGTAATTTCACTTTGTTGAGAATTATCTTTTTAAAAAATACTTTACTTTCTTGATGAAATTATAAATAATGTCAATATTTATAACAAAAATTGTCAGGTCTACAGAGAAAACTCTTCTACGTAAGTATTTCAGAGACAGGAGAGATTCTTCGTGTCCCCACAGGAAGCTGTGACACGAGGGGGACCACTGGGCTTCCGTTTGCCTCTCGCCCACGGAAGACGACAGGAGGCTCAAGGGAACTAACTCCGTGTCGCTCGTCAGATTAGAGGCAAACTAATAACATGCCCGACATTTTATTGACACCTGGAAGCAACTTAAACTTCCTAGGATCCCACAGAGCCAACGCCTTCTCCGAGGCCTGCCAGGATATGCCGCTTCCCGCTGAAAAGCTCTTCTCTCCTCTGATAGCACAGATTCACTGACTAGGAGCCATAACTCTTAAATACTTACGTTATGAAGTATATAAGTATTTAGTAACGACTAAAGGTCACTAAAATGTGCGTGGCTTGGAATCCACGTGCTTTAAATCATTTCTGGACTACCTCAGGCTAGTAAACTTGGAAGAAAAAAACAACCTCTCCTTCGATATGTGATTCATACTTTCCTATGAACTCCAGGTGACTGAGACCTAGAACCTTGGGCCAAGCTGGAAACATTTCAGTTCCCTTGCTCTTCTCACCACCACTCTTCTCATCTGAGCCACTCACTGACGAAGCACCCTGCCCTGCACCTTCCCAGGGTCTATGGGGATCACAAAGGTTAAGGTGTGACTTCTGACTGCAGGGAACTTAGCGTCAGGGAAGGAAGCAGAACATGCCCCCTGACCTTCCATAGTAACAGAAGGAGGCCTAACTCATTCACAAAGTAACCAACTGGAACCCAAACAGTGAGCTACAATTTTAAGAAATACATAAATCCACATAAATCCATGATCAAATACTATGAAAGAAAATTTTCCCAAAACAACAAGTGAGAGGCACGAAACGAACTTCTGTGGCAGATCCATCGTGATCCTGGGCGGGCCTTAACTGACCAGCAGTGTCTGAGGACACAGATGTGCCTGGCGCCATGCCTCCAGCGGCCCAGATGTTTCCTTCATCGGACACATGGGGAAACACACTTCTCAGTCAAGGACACAACATGCCTTATGGAAGTTCGAGACATGAAGCTGCTGACAGCTCTATCCCAAAGGGACTCCAGTGGATTCTGTGGATGCACCAGCCACCCCCCACCCGACCCCGCCGCTTCATCTTTACCTGGATAAATAATACCGAACAGTTCCAAAGGAACAAATGCTAGGAGAAATCATCCTGTGCGGAACAGTAAGAGCGAGAGCCTTCTTGGCTCAGCTATTATGTATCATTTCACCAGAGGCCACAGCTACATTTTGGATAAAACTAACCATGTGTTCTTAAGTGGTAGTGCCAGCTTTCAGTGGGAAAGACAAGCCACATTTCTGTGACTGACTTCTAATTTAATAAACTCTAACTCAGTAAGTAAAGCCATTCTGTCAGTCTTAAGCTTTCCTGGAGAGAAAGGCCAAACAGGCCTTGAAATGGAAAGGCCCTAATCTTTAATAAATAACAGGCATTAATTATCTTGTAACTAATCTAAACATTCAAATGAAAACCAATGGACACTGCTTGTTAATTTCAGTACACTGCCGCGAATCATCATGTATACTTTTCAGTAAGCGGCCGCATCTGGTATATACCAGTGTCCAAAGACTAGGGAGCATTTTCTGTGTATGTTTTACTTGTTTAGATAAAGGTCTCAGGGATCATCCTCTAGCTGCTCTGAGCTGAGACCTCCCCAGGTTCCTCTTAAATTGATAGAGGATTGGGAAAGACAATTTCTCCTTTTCTAATGATTCATGAATAACTGTACAATCACTCCTTTGAAAGATTCTAATGAGTAAAACCAGGGGGATGATTCTCTAACCTTCTACCCTCTGCAAGCTTTCCCTCCACCTACCCACATTTTTAAACATACAGCTACAGACTCCAAAAGAAGCTTTCAGATGTGGTGTGTGTTTAAATCACTCTTCTGGAGTAATCATTCTTTGTAATACACAGTGGATTCACAGGTAAGAACTTTCAATAGGCGTTGTAGGATTTGAGGGTTTTTTGTTTTTGTTTTTGTTTTTTTTTTACAGTGGGTAGCACAGTCCTAGGCACACAGAGGGTACACTGTATAAATGCCCCATGGCTGATTTTAACAATCTACAGAACAACATTGTGTATCCACGGGACACAGTGAGTGAGTGTTCACAAGCACCCCTGCTGACCACACATCAGAGAGAACGAGGGACCACATTTCCCAGTCAGTCATATCAGGACAGTCACTACAGCATCAACCGATAAACACACACGACAAAAAGGCAAAAGAGGTTCACATTATAAGAAATGGCAACTGAGGAGAGGAAAGAGAGAAATGAGACAAAAACAGCCAGAATCAAGGCAGAGAAATGAAAAAGACAAAACCACCAAAGACCACTAAAAATTTCAGGACTACATGTCCATCTTCAAGGACAGGGTGACCCATACATGAACACCAGTAAAATTGTTCACCTTTCAACTGATGTTTGAAACACACTTATGCATAAATAAGTCCAATTTCAACAACGGTATGTAAATGTATGTAATTCACTAAGTTTTTAACGGACGCTCAAACTCACTAGCGAGTACATGTAAAATGACGGGTAGATATACCTGTATCTACAATAAAGTTCTCAATCATTAGGTTAAAAAAAAAAAAGGAAACAAAGTTATCATCAGGTTAAAAAAAAGCAAACACTAGAAATTGCTCATAATCCCAATTTAATCCTTTCAATTTTTTTTTGTAATGTAGTATATGCTCAAGTTTAAAAAAGTCTTAAAAAATGTATACCTCTGTATACCTAATTCCCTACATGTTCATAGTAGGGAGTTCTGTATGTTTACAGTGGAGAGTGGGTGCAATTTATAGAACATTTTATGTATTTATACACTTTGTTGTTTAAATATTTGTAACAGTAAACTTTGTTAAAGAGAAAACAAATACAAACCCAAAGGTATCTCCTTCCTTGGCAGGTATAAACCTCAGGTCCTGCCTATCCTCATTGAACTTAGAAATTGTCATTTTCCTGTCTATCCTTGCTCCAGAGGGACAAACTTGATCTTGTAGAATATACATTCATGTATTTGTCCCTCACGTCAATTCTGACCACAAGTCAGTGGGTCCTCATACTCTGAAAGTCCAATCTAACCTAAGAGGGGTATCGGCACCTCTGAGATAAGGCCACAGGACCGGGACCGCCCCAGCTGCAGTCTAAGGGTGTCCTTGCTTTGTGACCGCTCTACTCTCCACTCAGACCAGAAGAGAGGGATCACTC